TTGTATTGTATGTTATTTTTATTATTATTATTATTACTATTATTATTATTATTAATGTTGTTGTTATATATAGTGTTATTTATTATTATTTTTTCTTTCGTGCATTTTTACTTTTATGACATAAATTGAATTTTTATGTTAAATATTATTATTATTACCATTATTATCATTATTTATTATTATTATTGTTGTTCTTTATAGTGTTTTTTTTTTCTTTCCCGCTTTTTAACTTTTGACATAAATTCTGGAAGTGTTGCCATTTTGGTTTATTGCCGTTTTGACTTAGGTCTATAGCCCTTTTGATCTTGCCGTTTTGACTTATTGCCGTTCTGGTTGAAAAGTGTTGCCGTTTTGGTTTTTTGGCGTTTTGGTCATTGCCGTTTTGACTTATTGCCGTTTTGGTTTTTTGCCGTTCTGTCCAGAAACCTACCATAATAACAATAATAATAATAATAAATCCCTCATAATACATAAAAACAAAAATGAATATAGAAAATTACGTCAGAAAATCAGATTTGGTGAGCACTATACAATTTTAACTTCACTTTAACTCTCACTTTGGAGAGCAGAGCTACTGTAGATGGTCTGAAGATAAAGTAATGATGGTTTTATGTTATCTTTGTAGTATAAATCATGAGGAAGGCACATTTTATTTATTTGTCCCACTCTTTTAAACATAAGATTTAAGGAGTTGGCAGAACTTTATAATATTCAAAATTTTAATGGCATTTGCATTTTTACTTATTATCAATTATCTCGCATAATTCTGTATTACGCCGCCGCCGAATTAAATGCAATCCATAGACCGCAGGTATGCAGGCCGAGTATCTTTAAGTATTTATAAGCTTAACCCATTGGAGAAGATTTTCAGCCTTAGGGGCCTAGCTGGATATGTGTTGACCATGGATTGCACTTGATCCAGCGTACTTAGCAAAATTAAATTAAATTTTTTTTAAGCTCATTTAAATAGATCTCTCGGAAGTGGCTTTTACCACTTGACAGGACTGTCAAGTCTGTCAATGCGTCTTCCAGGATATCTTAAAAAATACCTTAAACTTGTGCGGAAAATCACTAGGAAAATAGGAGCACAAAATCGTAATTGCTGCATAATTGCATTGGTTATATATTAAGATTTGGTCAGTCTAACTTTCAGCAAAATCTGCACAAAAATCAGCCCTTATTTTCCAAAATGTGCGGACGGATTATTAGGCCAAATTTTTGCGCGGAGGATATATTCCCTGTGCAGGCCTTACTATACAGTCCGGTTCCAGATAAATTGAATAGAATAAAATAAACGGTAAACATTTTAAATGTATACTGTAAATTAAATTTTTCATGTTTAGGAATGTCTAAATTCAGTTAAATTAGTAATTTCGTATTATATTTATAAATCTTTAGCTTTATAACATATAACATAAAAATCAGATTGAAATTTGCCGGGAATGGGGCGTTAAACTAAATTACGATGCTTAATCTTCAAAAAAATCAAGTAGCCAGGTTAATCCCAGGGGCGGATTTAGGGGGGGGGGGCCGGCCCGG